TACATTACTGGGAAGACCATTGTGTTCAGCCACCAGTAGTAGTAATCCCCAGATGGGTCTAGGACAGGCAGTGACTTCCTGTGGAAGGAAGAGGAGAAGCAGGGTTTCATTTTTTTCACCAGACATTCATTGTTGAGTTTGTCACCGGGGACATCAAGAAGAATCAGGCTCCATCCAGTTAGGTGGACAGATTGGACGCAGGGGACCAGGATCTCTCACCTGGTCTTGGATGGGGCAGAGGGGCTAGACTCTGTCGTCTTCACTTTGCTGTCCTGGCTCATGCTTCCGTGGCCTGGTGCCTGGAGGTGGGGTATCCAGGGCCTCTGCCTATAGTGCCTGCCTGCCTGCCTGCCTGCCTAGAAGAGGCTGCCCTTGGTCTCCCGCTGTGATTCCTCTGCTCCGACTTCTGAAGCTCTTAGCAACACAACCAGGGCCAGCCCCTACTGAAGGTGCAGAGGCAGTGTGGCCCCAGCGCCCCGCCCTGTCCCCCAGGGCCTGGGCTTACACCTGCCCAGCTAAACATCTCTAATGAGGTCCCTGGAGAAGGTGGGGGTGCATACCTCAGAAGTAAGCCTGGGCCTTGTTCCTTCCCCCGCCCTGCCAAGCTGCACAACTTAGGGGTCCTCTAAGTCAGGAGAGGGGCCTGCCAGTATAAGCTCAGTCATTCCGTTTTACTTTGTGTAAGTTCTCCACTTGGGCCTCATTATTTATTCATTTAACAACTATTTACTGAATGGCTCATTTGTGTCAGGTGCTGAATTAGTCTCTAGGGACAAAGCTTGTCACATCAAATGTGAGCTCTGTTTTCATTATCTGCACACTTATCTACATCCGTGCCCACTTTACCTCATTTTTTAAAAAAAAGATTTATTTATTTTAAAGAGAGAGAGAGAGTGAGAGTGTGTCGTGTGTGTGTGTGTGTGTGTGTGTGTGCACGGGCCAGGGGAGGAGCAGAGGGAGAAGGAGAGAGAGAATCCCAAGCAGACTCTCTGAGCATGAAGACTGATGGGGGCTTGATCTCATGACCCCGAGATCCTGACCTTAGCCGAAATCAAGAGTCGGACTGCTTAACCGACTGAGTTACCCAGGCACCCCCCACCTTACCTCATTCTTACTGGATGAGTGTGATGGGGGCCATTCTGTGGAGGTTTTGCCTCATTCCTTTCCTGTTACCTCTAGTACCTGATCCCATCAGCTATTCCATGTGTTATCTAGATCCCCAACCTCCTTCAGTTTTCCCTTTCTATGAACATGCTTAAATCTTTCCCATACCAAAACAAACAAAAAAATCCTGAAAATTATCCCTCAACCTGATGGCCCTTTCACTTCTATCATCTTTTCTCAGTCAACAGGTCATAATCAGAAAAACTGCTATGAGCCAAGCCAATATTATGCTCAATATTGGGGATAAAAGATGAATGAAACACACTCGCTGCCCTCTAGAAATTCAGAGTTTGGTAGGGGAAATAGTCAGGTAGATAGGCAGTTACATATCAGTTTGATGGGTACTCTATTAGGTGGATATACATAAGGCTCTTACACTATAAGAAGGGTCCCAACTGAGCCTGGGTTCTGTAGGATGAATAGGAGTTAGGTCTAGAGATGGGAGAATAAAGAGCAGTAGAGGCAAAGTGCATAGAGTGTGCAAAGGCATAGAGACTTTAAAAACATGGGTGACTGGGAGACATCAACTGGTTTCTGTAGAGATCATGAGGGGCTATGGGTGTGAGAGGAAGCTGAATGGAGGACAAGAGGACAGCCCAGGGAGAGCTTTCTCAGCCATTTTATAAAGCTGGGGTTTTATCTTAAAACAATGGAGAACTTACGAAGTGTTTTGCATAGTTAAGTGGTATGGTCAGATATGTATTTTTGGAGAGTTTCATGGAAGAAATGTCTACAGTCCCCAACATTTTATTTTATTTTTTTTTGAAATCCTCTTTTCCCATGGCTTCTGTGACACCATAATTTCTTGGTTTTCTGTTTATTTTTTCTTAGTCTTTTCATAAGCTTGTCTGTCCATCCTTTCTGTGTTGGCGTTTTTAAGACTCTGACCTAGGCCTTCCTGTCTTTCCATGCTCCTGGCTCTCTCTGGCCAATCTTGATTGCCCACAGGATCTTCTTTCCCATCTACTGACTCCCAGAAACTCTGAGCTGCAGACCCATCTATACCACTAACTGCTCGCTGGATATCCTTACTTGGATATACCACAGTCACCTTTAGCCCATTGGGTCTATAATTGAGCTCATTATCTTCCTTCATCTGTTCTTTCTCTTATAATCCCTCTTTCTGGTCTTTCAGGCCAAACATCTAGCACTAGTATTTATTATTATTACTATCATTATTATTATTGTATGACATTGTATGACATTATGGCAGTTTGACACTCCTGCCTTGTGACTGTTTCAACCAATAGAATATAGCAGGAGTGACTTCTGAGGCTGGATCATAAAAGGCTATGCAGCTTCCTTCTGGTTCACTTGGGAATGCTCGTTGTCTGGAAGCTCCCCATCAGGATATTCCCTCTTGGAACCTAGCTGCCACATTGTGAGAAGTGCAAGCCACAAAGACTAGTCATGTCTCTGTACTGTGTTTGACAGTCCCAGCTGAGCTCAGCCTTTGAGTTGTACCACCCAGGCATCAGACATGTGAAGAAGAGTGAAGAAGCCTCAGATGACACTAGCCACCAGCCTCAAGTCACCCCCAGGCATTCGGGTATCTTATATGAGGCCCCAGGCATCATGGACTAGAGATACACCATTCTTGCTGTGTCTTGGTTGAATTCCCAGAATCTGTGAGCATAAAGAAATAGTCGTTGTTTTACACTACTAAGTTTGGGATGATTTGTTATGCAGTATGGTAGCCAGAACAAACATATATTAAAAAAGTGCACATTTCCTAAGTATACAGCTTGATGAATTTCATAAAGTGAACACACCCATGTAACCAGCACTCATAAGAACCCCACTCTGCCCCCTTCCAGTCCTTGCTTTTCCAAGCATAATCACTAGCCTGCTTCTAATACCATAGTTGAGTTTTGCCTGTGAATGAACTTATATAAACTAAGCATCAGTTTTTAATCCTTTGATTTTCCTTTCATATGCATCCAGGCATCAAGCCCTGGTGCCCTACCTTCTAATGTCCACATGTCCATTTCTCTGTAACTTTACTACTTCAGTTTGGGCCTTACCAATTTGACCATGTATAAAATTCTTTATAGTTCTCTGTTATCCCAAGGATAAAATCTAAACTCCTTCACATGGCATACAAATCTCCCATTCCTGACCTCTGTTCATGTCTTCAGCCTCATCGCTAGTGTTTCCTTTGCATGTTGCCTGGGCTCCAGACGTGCTGTACTGATTGTAGTTCCCAAAGCACCTCCCCCCTGTTGTTCATTCTTCCTTGCCTTGGTATGGGCTGATCCATTTCTTTTTCTTTTTAAATACTTTTTATTTTAAACGAATTTCAGGCTTACAGAAAGTTGCAAAAAAGGTGTAGAAAGTTCCCGTAAACTTCTTAGCCACATTCCCCTGTTATCATCTTATATAACCAGAGTACAATGATCAAAACCAGGGAATTAACATTGGGAATAGTTTGAACTAAACCACCGAACTGATCTGAAACTTTCATTTCTCTTAGTTTACCACACTCTTGCTTGTTTCTCTGCTCAGACATCATTTACTCCTGAAGGTTTCCCTAAGCCCCTTTTGCCCTTCTTTCCCTTAAGCGCTGAGGTCTTGCAGGGCAGATATGGGTTCTAATTGATCTGGCTGGAATCCTGCCTGGCGTGGAGGTGCTTACTCCGTGTTCCTTGAGTTAAAGAACAAGACGGTGTCCAAGGCGGATCACGGAGTAGCTGGTGTTGGGGAAGCTAGGAAGGGGCGGTCATCGGCCGGGTACAGTCCAAGCCGTGCGCGCAGATGGGGCAAAAACGACCTAGTCTGCAGTCAGCCCTCTCGTGGGCTCAGCTTTTCCACAGGCCCCGCGTACCTACTGACTCCTCCCCTCAGACCTACCTTTCGTGCTAGCTCCGCCCCGTCCAGCCCACTCTTCCACCCTAAGCACCGCCCAGGGCCATTGGCCCCGCCCCCCACGCTAGTCTTCCAGCCTCTGTTCTCTCCTAAGCCCCGCTCTTGGCCTTTCCGTGCCTCCTCAAGTCGCGTCCCTCCTTAGGTCCCGCCTTCTGCCCTCTGGTTCGACCTTTCCTCCTCAGGCTCCGCCCCCGCCCCCGCCCTACGGGCCTCCGCCTCCTCAGAAGTCTTTCCCTATGACACGCTGGAGTCCTTCGGAGGGGCGGGGTTTACAGAACGAAGGGGCGGGACCCAGGGAAGAGGCGGTACTCCTCGCTCGGAATGCCGTCGGCGACCCCGCCCCGGCGCTCGGCCGTTGCCAGGAAACAAGCATCGGCGCTCCGGCTCTGGCCGGGTCCAGCCAATGAGCTGGCACGCCACTGCCCAGCGGTGCGTCGCTGGGCGGTTACGTGGGGTGCGCGGGGGCGCGGGTTGCGTGTGGCGCGGGGCGGGGCGCGGCTGGTGCGCCTGAGGAGCGATGGCGGCGGCCTGAACTCACCTAGCGGGGCTGCGGCGATCGGGCCTGGTCAGGATCGGGGTTCTGTGAGTGAACGGCAAGTATGGGCCGCAGGGCCCGGAGAGGCCCGTGAGGGGCTGAGGGACTGGGGAATGACGGCACCGGATTTGGTGACTGTACTGGTTATGAGGGGACAGGGTGAGGGGCTGGCATGTGGTAAGGGGCCGGGTGTGAGTGTCTAAGGTAGGGGAGCAGCTTCAGAGCCTAAGGGTGAGCGGGCAAGTGCGGAGCTGGGCAAGAAGAGGGGCTGGGGGTGCTTTTCGAGGAGCCAAGGGAAAGGGACTTGTGAACACGGTTTAGTGAGGGGTTTGAAGCACCTGTGGGCAGGGGTGAGGGCAACCCTGGGGCCAGAGTGGGGCCTCTGCGGGGAGGGGAGAGTAAAGGGCAAAGGCGGGAGCGTGCGGGCTGGTGGGGAATGGGTGAGGGAGTTGAGGCTAGGGCATGAGGGGAGGAATGAGGATTGTGAGGCTCGGATGAGGTTGAGGTTGGTTCTGGAGCCTACTTCGATGGACTGTCCTGCCCAGTGTCCTGCCTAGTTTCAGACCGAGTAGGACAGCTTGGATGGAAATGTTGTGCACTTGGCTTTTGGAGGACAGAAAAATGAAGGCGTCATGGGCAGTAATAATTACGATAATGAAAATTATTTTTGGGGCTTAGTTTTCAACCAGAGTAATCACTGAAACTGCCGGTTTCTCAAGTTCCTCTTTGGGACTCCAAACTTGGAGATGGTCCCTCTCATGGAGGTTTTTTTTTCTTTTTTCTTTTGCCTGCGACAGCCTATGTTTGTTTTCTCTCCACTGCTTCTGGGCAGCCTTACTCCGATGCTGCTCCTCACCTGTGCTTAGCTGTGGGGCTCTTATGGTTGTCATCTAAATTGGCCTAACCATTTTCAGTAGCTAATTCTACTTTCATGAGAGTCACATGGTTTGTTACATACAACACTATATTTAGGCTCTCAAACAGAATGGCTTTGCCCTCAGTTTCTTACAGTTAAAAAAAATTCCACTTTATTGAGGTAAATTTATATACAATAAACTGCTCATATTTAAAATGTGCATAAGTTTCGCCATATGTTTACGTCTGTGAAACCATCACCACTTTCAAGATACTGAACATTTCTACTGCCCCCAGAAGTTTTCTCCTATCCCTTTGCAACTCATTCCTCTGTCCATGACACATTTTGGGGTTTACTTTATTAGTATTTTGCAGGTCCCTTTCTCTCTGCCAACCCACACTCACAAGAACATTTTAAAAGTTCTAGACAGTTGGGTTAGCACTCAGTTATAATGGACACTTCACTTTCCCACCACTAAATTTTCCTCTCTAGTGACAGTCGACCACAGAGCCCAGATACCTTCCCCAACCTCAGGGAGATTTAGGCCTTTCCTATCCAGACTCTTCTCTTGAAAATTAGGGATAGCCCAAGCCCAAGTTGCCATTCTGTTCTAGAGGCTCAGCCTCTGTTCGGACCCATGGTATGTTTTCATTGCTTCTCTCTGGAGGCCAAACATTTTCATGCTAGTGGAACCCTTGACCATCTACCCTGATGGGCAGAACCCTGTAGAACCAACATGTATCATAGCAGGGTTTGGAGCAGTGATTCCTAAACACTGGGCCAAGGATAGTGCCAGTTCATGATAAAGATTTCATCCATCCAAGGAGGAAGGAGAGAAAAATAACATGAAATATGAGTTTTTCATAAAGATAAGTTCATTTTGAGATTATTCTTTTAGTGTTAAAGTGCTTTCTGACTGATGAAATAATGGTGACAGTAGATGGTGGGTTTTAAAGAAATGGTCTTATTTGCCAAAATAAGTAACAAGCCTATTTTTAAAATTTTTTAGAAATTATTTTTACTAGTTCCTGAAATGGAGAAATTTAGAGTGATGAAGCGTGGCTGTTGTTGTTATGGTTGAGAAAGCCTGTGTTTAGACTAATTCTAGATAACTTCTGACATTTGAACAGCATTCATTCAGTCTCACATTTCACTGGGTTTACATACTTTGTGCAGTATAGATGATGAATCAAATTCATAAACCAGAGGTCACATAGTGATAAAGTGGCAAAGCTGAACCCAAACTTTGGTTTCCTGAGAGTGGGTGACTTGGGGAAAGAAGGTTTGTAGCAGAGAGTGAGAGCCATGTGGACGAAATGGCACCTTAGGTATGGGAAGAGTTGTGATGACTCGGAGGACATTATACTGGCAAAAAGCAGTTTTTATGATTTGTAGTATTAATGTGGTTCCAAAAGAGTTAAAGAGACTTTGAGGGTGACATAGAGATGAGGGTTCTGTTTAATATTGTGGCAATGACATGGGAACAGGTATACTTAATACCTGGATCACACTGTGGTCGTGGTAGGATGAGTCAAGTCGTCAGAGCATTGTTAGGGACTGTCCAAATTCTTGGGTGTTCTGGAGAAAGCACTGGGTTTGGTAAGCTATATTGAACTCTGTTGAAATAGTAGTGCAGGAAGTAAAATGGATTTTGACTTAGACATACAGCCCAGTGGTAGATCTCAGAAGAAGTAACATAAATGAGGGTAGTGATGTAGAAATAGAAACATGTTTGGAGTGCTGTATGTAACCGTTTATTCCATATCTGCTATACACCAGGCACTCTAAGTGCTGGGAGAGCAAGTTCATTCATTCATATGTTAATTCATTTATTCATTCAGCACATACTTTTTCAGTATGTAGTCTGTCCTTATGAAGCTTACATTTTATGAGATAACAAGATACATAAGACACGGTCCTCTGAGGTCTCAAGGAATTCGCAGTCAGGTTGGGAGAGGTAGATACATGAGAAGATGATTTCAGTTTAGAGAGAGAGAGTGAAATACAAAAGCATATTATGGGGATGTAGTCTCTCCCTGTGTCATATATAGTCCATGGTCTACCATATATCTGCACAGGTATTACAGATTTATACATCCAAAACAGCACTCAGTGTCTTTGCTCTGAGAGTGTGCTGTTGTATCACATGCTCTATCTCAGTCCAGGCAAGGACTTCAGTGTCCTCTTCATTCTTTCTGCTCCTTCACCCCCTGTATTTAATCACTCACCAAAATCTTAATATGTTTCTCTCTAAATTATTTTCCTCTTCATCTCCATGGCTACATCTCGACTGTTAAAGCTTTAGTTTACTTCGCCTCCTCTCTCATCTGGATACCCCCCCACCCCGCAACAGTCTCCTGCCTTCAGACTTGCTCTTTTCTAGTCTGTCCCTAGAATGGTCTTTCTAAAAATACAAATGTAATCATGGAGCTCCTTTGCTTAAAAACTTTTGGCTCTTTGTGTTCTGTAGGACAACATCCAAATTCCTTAATATGGCATCATTTGGCCTCAACTCACCTCTCCAGCCTCATCTCCTGCCACTCCCTACTTTGTGTTCTAGCTTGAATAAATTGTTCACAGTTCCCTAACGAACATGTTACTGTTTTGAGCCTTGAGATCTTTGTAATAGCTGTTTCCCTTACTAAGAATATTTTTTCTTCTCTGCCCAGTGAACTTTCCTTGTTCTTTAGGATCTAGTTCATTCTCTCCTCCTCTTTTTGACATCTTCTTTGTCATCATCACCCAAGAGGGGTGGAGAAAGAGCCATGTGTGACGTGGAGATTCACTGCTGTAAAGGGGAGTCACCGTGATTGAGGTTCACGTTGTGTAAAGGCTGTGCTGGAGTCAGGTGAGATTCCCTGCAAGAAGCAGAGGTTCTTGAGGAGAGGGGAGGGAGTGAGTTGGGACCACACATTGATAGCCCATTTGTCTTATATATGTAGGCTGATGGATGGACAAGCGGGGAGGATATGTGTAAGCTGAGCTCTAGGTTAGTAGGCTCCTGTGAGGTTCCCCTCCCCTCCCCCGCCCTTTCGTACTCCTATGAGGTTTTAATCAGATCTTTCTACTTGAGTATTTAAGGTAATGGCTCATTCATACCTCTTATGTCGGTAATCAGTCATCTTGCCTAGGAAGAACCATTGTACAATGGGAGAGAACCTCAGGACTTTACTGACCTGTTCTTGAAAGATCATTTTGGTCTCTCCCTGTCTGCTGCAGGTGTTGCAGGTGTATCCCTGCTCTCAGCTCCCTCCCTCTCTTACCTCTCCCAGGGCAAAGGTTCATAAGGAAGGCTGAGCCACTTCCTGCCCTGTGCCTGCTATTCTGAGGTTGGTGGATACCCTTGCTGAAAGTGCCTGTAAGGCTGTATTTTGTGCTGTAAGGTGAGTGACTGGCCTTGGCTGTTTGTGGGTCTAAAGATCAACTCTTTCTTCCCCCTTTTCCCCTGTGGCTGAGCCTAAAAGTAAATCTGGGAAGAGGGGTCTACTCTTTTTGCTAGACTTTGCAATGAGAGGAAAGGGCACAGTAATAGGGTGGTGATTCCATTCTCTTTGTCTCGTTTTGAACTTTGCACAGTTAGCAGGGAATGAGAGTCTTAAGTAGGTGACAGGAACACCAAGCTATGGTCTTCTTTTGTGTTTTTGCAGTATGTGAAGGGGGCCCAGGTTAAGTGTTAGCTTTTGTGTTCTGAGACACTGATTTCAGTGTGGCTCTTCTCTTTGAGGTCTTTGAGAGTTGGAGATGGGGGGATGAAGAAAGGTCCTGGAGGCTATCCTGCTTGGGTCTGTGAGCAGTGCCCTTTGTTGGTCAAGCAGTGAAGCAGAAGTGGGCACCCCAGTTATATTGCAAGGTAGGAGTTGGTTGTTAATCTTTGGAATTGAGTTCTAGGAGCAGAAGGCAGTTTAGTTTTGGACATGTTAAGGCTTTACTTTGCTGAGACTGGATGCTTGGCTCTTCTTCAGCTCATCAGAGTATGAGTGTGGGGTGGTAGGGATGGACATGTGAGAGCAGGTTAGATCTCTCAGTCAGAGGTGAGAGTACCTTGGTCAGATAGGATCGGGAGAGGGAAGGGAGAAAGGAAAATGTTATTTACAGAGCACCTGCTTTATATGCCTGGTGTGCTACATAGGTTATTTTATTTTTTAAAACAGTAACAGTACTTCATCAGGAATTTATAGATAAGGAAACTGAGGCTCCCATGTGTGAAGTGATTTATTTAAAGTCACACAGCTGGAAAATGGTGGACTGAGATTCAAACTGGAGCTCCTGTTTTACCTACTACTTTGTGTTACTCTTACTTGACCTTAGGTCCTCTATTTATTTTCAGTCCTCAAATGAGATATGATTGAGAAAGCATTCTCTAACCAGTAATGCTCTTGTACCGGTTAGGGTCCTTGCAGGGGGCAGGTCGCACACATTTGGTTTGGGAAGAATTTAATAAAGGGATTATATTTACAAAGGCATGGGTAGAGTTTAAGGAAACCAGCAAGGGGAGATGCAGTCTCCAGGGCTACTAGCAGTGAGAGTGCTACTAAAAGGGGACCTTTCTTACCAGTATTCTCAACTGTTGGCTTTGCTTTCCCCAGCCCATGCTTAAGGACTTGGGCGGACAGATAAGTACCTTTTCCAGTACAACCCTGCTGCTGGTAGCTGCTAGAGTGTATGACTATTTGATGGTTTATAGGAAACCATGTGTGGAAAGACCGAGCATCCGTTTTGTGGCTCTACCACCTTCTCACTCTTCTTCTTTGCCACCCCCACTCTCTTGGGTGAGTGAGTGAGGGAAGGTTAGGTGGGTGGAGGGTGGTAGTAGATATTAGCGTCCCTGTTTCAGATTTCAGATTTACCTGAACTGGCACCCATCCTTTATTACTATTTTCCTCCTTCCTCAGAGAAAGTGTTATACCTCTTTTTCTCAGATTAGTCCTATATCTATCTGATTTTTCTGTCAGTTATCCCCATCTTATTTATCCACAACCTGTTACTTTCTTCATACTACTTTTCCTCACTTGACAGACATACTTGAGGCTCTCCATCCTAAAATAAAACAAAACCAAAGGATAAAAACTCTTTCTTTTGACTCCTTACCTCCCACCCCTCCTAGCTTCTTTAAGCTATTGCCCTATTTTCATCCTTTCCTGTGTCACTGACTTTCCTGTATTGCATGTTACACTTTTTTGCCTTAGTCATTCTTTAACTAATTACTTTCCTAAGTTTATGTAAAACTTGATTGCTAAAACTGACTGATCATTTTTAATCTTCATTCTGCTTAGTCTCTTTGTAGATCATACATTATGGCAATCTCCACTTTCTGGAAACTTCCTTACCTTAATTTCTAGATTATCATTATTTCTTGGTTTTTCCTTCCATTTCTGGCTAGCTTCACAGTCCTCAAAGACACTCCTCCTTTGCTTTCCTAATTTCTGGTTTTCCCCAGGATGTCACCCTCAGCTCCTTTCAAGGTCTGCTGTTGTCTTTGGATGATTTCATCCATCTCCATAGCTTCATCTATCACCTATAAGCTATTGACTCTGGGATATATATCTGTAGTCTTGATTTCACTCGAGCTCAAGTGTAATATTTCTCTTTGCTTTCTAGACATCATGGATATCCTATAGGTGTCTCATAGCATAATGTGTCTCAAAGCTTAACAAAGCGTATTCATCCTCTTTTCTAAAACACCTTTGTTATGTGTTCCTCACCTATTAATGGCATTATCTTTTACTGAATCTCTTTACTTCATATTAGGGTCTTCTCTTATCCTCCAGCCATTTGTCAGGTCTTGTTTGTTCAAGTTAAGTGAATGCAGATGATCTGCATTTGCATCCCAGTCTTGCTACTTACCAGTTGGCTAACTTTGACAGTTTATTTGACCCTCATAGGTTTTGATTTTCTCATGTGTAAAAAGGAGATACTAGTACATCTAGAGTTTTAATGGGGTTTAAATGAGCTACTACATATAGTGCTTAGAGTAGAGCCTGCCATGTAGTAAGTGCTCAGTATATGTTAGCTATAATTATTTTTCATTTAGCATTCAGTTCCACAAGCATTTTTGAATGCCAGGCACTGTTGGCACTGTAATTGCAAAGAAGAATGAATGGTATGGTCCCTTTTGAAGGAGCTTGCTATTATTGGCAGGGATATTACATGTGTAAATAATTTCATTATCACCTGGGACATGTTAAGATAAAGGTGAATCTCATATTTATCTTTTCTAATCTTGCTCTTACCACCTTACTTTATCTGTCATCTGCCTCTCTCTATTCCACCTTAGACTGCTATCTGACATCTTTTTAAAAGCAAATTTGATCTTGTCGTTTCCTTGTCTAAAAACCTCCTTTGTTTCCAGGGTGTCAGTAGATAAAACTTAAACTTTTTAGCATGATACTCAGTGATAATTATAACCTTCACACATGTTTACTCTTCAACTCAATAATGTTTCTTTTTTCTCTAAGTACTCTGTGATTAGGCCACCCCAAACTTGGAACTGATTTTCAGATTTGTCATGTTCTTTCACAGTGCCATATTTTTGTACATACTGTTTTTAATATGAAGGCCTTTCCCTCTGCTCTCTTTGTGGCCAGTATCTCATTGCTAAGGGCTTAAGTCAGATATCACCTCTTTTCTGGAATCCTGTTATAATCTCTCAGGCAGAATTAGTTGCTTTTTTTCATGTCCCTGTAACTCTTTTGTAAATACCTCTGTTTATAATATTCATTGGAGTTTTTATTAATGCTCCCCATCCAACTGTTTTTATCTGTCTTCGTACTTCCATTGATTATTTAGCAGAGTACTCAGTACTTTATCAGTATGGATGTACTTAAGTTAATCAGTGAGTGAGCCCTGCCTGCTGTTTAGGATTGGCCCTGCCCTTTATTGTAAGACTGTGTCCTGTTGTATAGGTTTCCTTAAGCCTAGTTGCTACCTTCCTTTAGTTGTGAGTTGGTAATGGTGAGAGAGAGTATCTGGGTGGAAGGGAATGGTGTTAACCCGAGGGCAAAGTGTGGGGCTGGTGCCAGGTCTCTGGGTTCCTTCAGCCTTTGTTGAGCTTAAAGAGGAAGGACAACTGAACCACACCTTTCCTCTGAAGTTTTTGTACTTGTGAGAGATAATAATGCTGAGGGGGTGAGGGGTGCGTTGGAGAAGGAGCTGTGAGTTATTGTCTAGGCCAACAGCTGTTTTGGTAGTTTTCCCCTTTCTCTAGTGAGGGTGTCCTGTCATGTCCCCAGGAGTGAGTGTTGGATATATCTGGCAGGAGTTGGGTGTATGTGTGTGTATGGGAATGTGTCCCTGTGTTCTTTGCGGGAATGAAAATTGTTCTGCTCTTTTGGTTTGCTCTAGATTTCCACCTCTTATGTGTGTATTCAGCTAGTTAAGGGTCTGTTGGGTTATTTCCTACTGGGTAGGCTTCTAGGGAGGGACTGTGATTGGTAGAAAAAAATTTCTTCCTCAGTACTCCCAGGTGGTTGGAGTCAGATCAAGACTGTGAAGGGGGGTGGGAGGCAAGACTGGAAGCATGGAGACCAGATTGGAAGCTATTGCAATAGTAAAACATGCTTTGAGGGTATAGGTGATAGGGTTTGCTGATGAACTGGATATTGGAATTAAGGAAAAGAAGAAATAAGGATGATGCCCAAGTTTTTGGTCTGAGCATGTAGGTGAATGTTGGTATCAGTTCTTGAGATGGAGAAGGCTGGAGGAGTAACAGGTTGGGTGGTAGAAGTGAGTTCTGTTTTAAACACATTACATTTAAGATGTTATGTGTGTGCATGTGTACGTGGAATTCTCAGTGGATTGGTGGCTCTGGGTTCCTCCTGTTGGGGAGTGGAGAGAGGCAAACTCCTGTTGATCTCTTCCTTTCTCTCTCTCTTTGAATTAGATTTGCAGGTCTGGCCTGGGCAGTGACCTCTGGGCTCACTTCTCCAGCCTGGTGTATTCTTTGGCTCCATGGCCAGCTACTGGCTCCTGCAGACCGGATGAAGCAGACTAGAGACACAAGTGGAGAAAGCCTCCAGCTGGCAGACTCTCAGAGTGTGGCCCTCTGGCCGCTGGCCCTGCCCAGCCTGCCTCATGGAGAGGATGAACTGGCTGAGCAGACTGGCCTCCCGGGGCCCTGGACACCGTGTCCCTCAGGGGGCCAGTCTGCAGACCCCTGTCATGGCTGACCCTGAGACCTGCCTCATGGTCTTCAAGAATCACTGGTCCCAGGTAGGAGATTCTATGCCAAATGGCCTGATCTACTGGCTGCCTGAGTCCTTCCAACCTTCTGTGTTCTCTCACCATCCCATTTAGTCATCATATTGTCTTAGATTCCTGCTATCTTCTGTCCTGTTCCTCTAGGCGGTGCGAATCCTGGAGCGGCAAGGTCCTCGGGCAGCTCCTGGGGGTGCAGATGATCTCAGTGCTGTGCGCAACCACACTTACCAGATGTTGACACTGCTGGTAGAAGATCGTGCTGTCCCCTCAGCCCCCACGGCCCCTGGGCCCTTGCTGGAGTTTGCTCTGCGTGAGGACCTGCTAACCCGTGTGTTGGTGTGGCAGCTTCAGTGGGATGAGCTTGGGGATGGGGTTGAAGAACGGCGAGCTGAGCAACTGAAGCTGTTTGAGATGCTAGTGAGCGAAGCTCGCCAGCCGCTGTTGCGACATGGACCGGTTCGTGAGGCTCTGCTGACCTTGCTGGATGCGTGTGGCCGCCCTGTGCCCAGTAGCCCAGCACTAGATGAAGGCCTGGTGCTACTTCTCAGCCAGCTGTGTGTGTGTCTGGCCCGGGAGCCTTCATTGCTCGAGTTCTTCCTACAGCCACCTCCTGAGCCTGGAGCTGCCCCCCGTCTTCTCCTCTTTTCTCGCCTTGTTCCCTTCGTCCATCGAGAGGGCACACTGGGCCAGCAGGCTCGTGACGCCCTACTCCTGCTCATGGCTCTGTCTGCTGGGAGTCCCACTGTGGGCCGCTACATTGCAGATCACTCTTACTTCTGCCCGGTCAGCACCTCCTGGGATGGGGGGGTGGGGTCTGGTGTGTAGACATTGGACAGCACCTTGCTATCCAGAAGATGTGGAGGGGCTGTGTATGGGGTCCTCCTTTAGGTAGTAGCCCCCTAGGTTTGAAAGCAGTACCTGGAGTTGGGGTGGGGATGAAACATGGCTTAGGTGGATAGCACAGGTACTAAGGCTCTTCATGGGTCAGTGTTCCCAGGGCCAGTGTTCCCAGCACATTCGGTAACTAAATATGTGCTTTGGGTATAGCTCTTTTCCCACTCCTGTCAAAACTCTGGGTTAATAACTCCCCTGCTCCCCTTTTTTTATATTGCCTGAGCTTTTGGTAACCTGTCCTTGGGGATGGCCCCCAGGTGCTGGCCACAGGGCTGAGTGCCCTGTACTCCTCACTGCCCCGAAAGATTGAGGTTCCAGGGGATGATTGGCACTGCCTGCGACGGGAGGACTGGCTGGGCGTGCCAGCCCTTGCGCTGTTCATGAGTTCCCTAGAATTCTGCAATGCAGTCATTCAGGTGGGACTCGGGTTCCCAGGAGGTCTGGTCTTTGGTCATTCTGGGGAGATGGGGGGAGGGGGCACATTCCCTGGAATTCTGCTATTCTGCCATCTTGGGGGTAGGGTATTCTGCTCCCTTCCAGGCAGTGGCCACCTCACATTCCTCCTCCCTCTCTCTTGCACCCCTACAGGTGGCTCACCCTTTGGTGCAGAAGCAGCTAGTTGATTATATCCATAATGGGTTTCTGGTGCCTGTCATGGGCCCTGCCCTGCACAAGGTGAGAATTATGGGTGGCAAGGCAGATTAGGGTATTAGGCTGAGGGGTGGTGACCTGAATGCCAGGACCAATGTGGGAGGCAGTGGGCTGGGTACTCCTCCCTTTTTCCCTGTCTGCTCCTGCTTCCTCCTCAGAACTCAGGGAAAATGACTCCGTATAGGTGCAGGGGAGCCCTAAATCTCCAAACTTTCCCTTCCCTTCGTCCAGACCTCTGTGGAGGAGATGATCGCCAGTACCGCCTATCTGGAACTTTTCCTACGGAGTATCTCAGAGCCTGCTTTGCTCCGTACCTTCCTGCGATTCCTGCTGTTACACCGGCATGACACCCACACCATCCTTGACACCCTCGTTGCCCGTATTGGCAGCAACTCCCGGGTATGGCCCCTACCTCTGTCCTGGCTTACCTGGGTGAGCCATCTTCTCTCTCTGACCTTTGTTCTGGGAGGGTGCGCCTGCCCTTCTTTGGCCTTTGTCTCCAGCAGTCACTTCAAAGTTAGGTGGCATTTCCTTTCCAGTATTAAACTTTTGACCATTTTGGGTACAGATTTTAGTCTACTCCCTTGCTTTTGTAATATATGAATCTAGAACACAGTTACTTTTTCTGGATAGCTGGCTGCTCATCATGACTAGAGGTTTTGCCATTGTGCTATACTTGTAGCCTTGGCCTGAGGTTCTCTTTAGCTGTGTATTGTTCTGTGGCCTGCTGTGGGTGACTCGGGATCACTTCTCCAGGTTTTGTGTCTGCTTTGATAGGTGGTCCTGCTGCTACTGGTATGCTTAGCTTTTCTCTGCTTTGGATTTGCTGCATTTGAACTATAACTCGGGGCACCCATCCGCCCACCTACCTACTTAAACATTCCCTTTTCCTGAGCATTTATACTGAATGTTCACTACATGCCTTACTGTTTTCTCATACTAAGGATAAATGGTAAACAGGGTAGACATGGCTGCTGACTTCATTGAGCTTCCTTTAGAGACATACAAACCCATTAATAAAATAATTAAAAATTGTGGTCATTGTTATGAAAAAACTAAACAGCGTGCTTATAAAATAATAGGGTGGTCAGAAACCTCTCTGAGGAGGTGACATTGAGCTAAGACCTAAAGGTCATGAGGGAGTTTGCCTATTGAAGAACAAGTGGAAGAAGAGTCTGGGCAGGGGGAGCAACATGCAAAGGATATGAGATGGGGGTGAGCTGAATGTATTTGAGGACATGAAAGACCAGTATGAATGGAGGAGTAGTGAGCAAGGGGGAGAAGGAAATGAAATGAAAGTTGAGAGGCAGGTAAGATTCAGATCATGCATGGCCTTGTAGACCATGGTGGGAAGTTTGGATTTTAACCAGTAGAAATATATATGGCAATAGGAATAAGTAGTTTCCAAGTAATGAAGACCCAAAGTCTGTCTAGGGGAATAAAGCATTCGTTTAGTCATGGATTTTATGGCATTTATTTGGCTCTGGAACCATTTTTGTTTCCTTCTTATTACAAATAATTGAAGTTCCCTAGGTCCTTGTGTTTAAAATAGAAGTTCTTGGATTACTAAAGATTATGGAAAACTGTTCAAATAATTGAGATACCTTGAGATACCTGTAGTCAGCCTCATGGTAGGTGAGGTTTCAGGAGAGCTATGAATGATGGAAGGGTATAGAATAACTAAGGGTATCTGAAGGGTATGTGAATAACTAAGGGTGTGGATGAGATATTCCACACTGGATGAGACCAGTGTTTCTGAACCAGGTGCACACTTCAGAATTTGAAAATGGCAACAACGACAACATACTCTAGGCTCTGCCTTAGCTCTGTTGAATTGTAAGACACAGGGCATATGAAACTTTACAATATTCCAAAAAGTAATTATGGTACATGCCTGAATTAATTAAGTATTATTGGTAAAAACCAATAGGGAATAGGTGTCAAAGGTTTAATCTTACAAAGATACCCAAAAAGGTTTATTTCTCACTATGCTAAAGTTAAACCATGGTCTTATATCTGTTTGGCCTGATGGAATGTTCTGTTCGTGTTTTGTGACCATTGATTTCCTTCTTGAGGTTGTTTTTTTTTTTCCACTATGCCAGGCTCTATCTGTCTTTCTTTTGTCCTAATCTTGTCCTCACTTCTTTGATCCTCTCACATTGTCTTTAGTCTTTAGCATTTGTTTCTATTAGTCTTGCATTTGGTCCTCTGGTCTCTCAGGGGCCTTCATGTTCTTGGGCTATTCCTTCTTGGTTCCTGCTTCTTGGAGGAACCAGATTGCTTCTTATTTCAGGATGCCTGTGTTAAACATGCAATTGCTTTTCTTTCCATTGTTTGGCCTTTTTAGGCATGATTCTGTTGCCCTGACTTTGAATTTCTTTAAGCTTGTCTTTTGTGGCTTAAAGTGAATCATGCTAGTTTGTCTGCCTGTATACCTGTAATTTCCTATTGCTGTCATAACAAGTTACCACAAACATAGTGGCTTAAAACAACACAAATTTATTATCTTGTAATTCTGTACATCATACGTATGACACAGATCTCATCGGGCTAAAATCAAAATGTTTGGTGGGGCTGTGTTCCTTTCTGGAGGCTCTAGTAGTAGATCCGTTTACTTGCTAGGTGGGGTTGTTGGTAGAATTTGTTTCCTTGCAGTTGTAGGACTGAGTTTCCCATTTTCTTGCCAGCCCCCAGCAGAGAGGACCATTCCCAGATTCTGAGGCCAACCAAATTCCTTGGTTCGTGGACCCCTTCCATCCTCAAAGCCATCAGTGGTGGATCAGGTTTCTCTCATGCTTCAGATTTCTTTTCCTTTTTCTTTCTGACCCAGCTGGAAAAGGTTCTCTGTTTTTAAGGACTCATGTGATTTGATTGGGCCCATCTGGGTAATCCGGGCTACTCTCCCCATCTCCGATTCCATAACCATAATCATATCTGCAAAGTACCTTTTGTCATGTAAGGTAAAATACTTACAGGTTCTGGAGATTAGGATCTGGACATCTTCGGGGGGCCATTTTTCTACCTACCACACAACCTTTCAGTGAGTGTTTAACTAGCAAGGAATGTTTTCCTTGCTAGTTAAAATGGTCAGGGTAAATCTGAACGTTTGTGCTGTCCAAAGTGTGAATTGCTATCTCATCTCTTTCCCACTGCAGTTGACTTTTAATCCTCCCACAATCGTTTAGTAACTGATGAGCACCTAGACTGTGCAGTGGTGCCCTGGCCTAAGACTCAGTAGTTGGTCTTCAGGGAGCTCCAGGTATACTTGCCATGAGGGAAGTAGAGAGAAGGTGCTGTGGGGATTTAGAGGAGTGAGGGAGTACTTACACGGGTCTCTTCTCTTCCCCTCTCTTCGCCTAGCCACAGAAGAACCACCTTCTTATTTCCTTTTTTTTTTTTTAAGATTTTATTTATTTGAGAGAGAGAGAATGAGAGAGAAAGAACACATGAGAGGGGATAGGGTCAGAGGGCGAAGCAGACTCCCTGCCGAGCAGGGAGCCCGATGCGGGACTCGACCCTGGGACTCCAGGATCATGACCTGAGCCGAAGGCAGTCGCTTAACCAACTGAGCCACCCAGGCGCCCCACCACCTTCTTATTTTCTAAAACAAATGGTTTCCTCTATTCTGGACCCACCTATTTTTTCCTTTTCCTGTCAGCTGTACTTGAGCTTCTCTTTCTTCTACCTTCAGAGATACACAGTGTTGGAGAGGTGACTCAGACTCCCCGTTCACAGCCCTGCCCACTTCCCAGCTGGGATTCTTCCAGTTTCCCTCTGGCTTCTTATTGGTGGCATTTAGTTGCTGTGCTGCTGTGGTCTCTGCTGACAGGCATTCACTCAGTTATCCTATTGCTGTTGTCTCCTAGTAGTCATTCACTCAATCCCAGTATTTCTTAGAGTCTCTTTTTATGGGTACTCATTCCATTAAGTACTGCTGGAAACTCTGCTGACCAGTGTATATGGCCAGAGAGTCTGCTGACGTGTGTAGTCTGTAGAAATACAGACTCTGACACATGGTTCATTCCTATCTGTGAACAGTGAAGTCTTGCCTATAAAGATCATATGAGCCTTTATTTAATAATTGAGTGATTATTATGTGCCAGGCCCTGTGTACATTGTTACTCCAGGAGTGGTTGGTTGGGCCTGGGGCTGGGGGTTCCCATTTGGTAAACATCCTGGAGGGTAGAGAGCTCTTATGGTGACTCCCTCCCTCCTCCCCCACCTCCCCAGCTCTGCATGGTCTCTCTGAGTCTCTTCAGGACCCTACTGAACCTCAGTTGTGAGGATGTCCTGCTGCAGCTGGTTCTCAGGTACCTGTGGGGGCAGGGCTGAGGGATGGCTGATCCTGAACCCTCTAGGCCTTGTGCACTGCTGGGCAATGGGTTGTATTGGGGTTGCTCATGTGTTTCCTCTTGGAGCCTGGCTTAGTCATGTAGTTCCATTGGCTTGATGTTCTCCCAGGTCCTGTCCTTCCTGATCTATCCTGTGTCCTTTTTCTGCTGTCTTTCCCAGGTATCTTGTCCCATGTAACCATGTGATGCTGAGCCAGAAGCCAGCTGTACGTGATGTGGACCTATATGGACGGGCGGCAGACAAGTTTCTCTCCCTAATCCCACGCTGTTGTCGGCATCGTGCCCCTAGCCCACCCCATCCAGAGCATGCCCCATGGGCACGAGGTGGGCCTAGCAGAGAGGCAGGGAGAAGGGAGGACACCACGGGTATGGCCTGGGTTCTGGGGAGCCTAGCAAGAAGGTGGGACTAGGGTGGGGGGAGGCAGGATGTGGCCATGAGTGGCATTCCATCTTTGGAGAGGTCGATGAGGGTCTTGCAGGGTGGATCCTTAACTCCACCAAAGAAATATAGCTTCTGAGTAAAGCTGCTCCTCTTCTTCATTCCAGTCCTGTATTGTTTCTATTTTCCATTGTTTCTTTGGTGTTGGGGGTAGTGAGAGGGGGTGGTGGATGCTGAAAAGCTTAATTAGGAGGGTGGAGAATCAGCTGCCTGAATAGGTCGCATGTCTTTGTCGCTTCATTGCCTTCTCTATTAGTCTCCGTAGGTGTCTTATCCTTCCTCCTAGCCCTCTGTCTCTTTGATCCCTCTTATGTTTTTTCCCTCTATAGGCCCTGGAAGCCCAAGTGTTGACTCCTCTTCTGTGGTGACAGTGCCCCGGCCCTCCACACCATCTCGACTGGCCCTCTTCCTGCGACAGCAGAGTCTGGGTGGCTCGGAATCCCCAGTTCCAGCCCCTCGCTCACCAGGGCTTGCTGCATCCCCAGCCTCCAGCCCTGGCCGAAGGCCCAGCCCTGTGGAGGAGCCTGGTGAGCTGGAAGACAATTACCTGGAGTATCTGCGTGAGGCACGCCGTGGTGTGGACCGGTGTGTCCGAGCCTGCCGTACCTGGTCTGCCCCCTATGATGGCGAGCGGCCCCCTCCTGAGCCCAGTCCTGTTGGCTCCCGGACTAAGAAACGCAGCCTACTGCCTGAGGAGGACAGGGACAATGTGGGGGAAGGGGAGGAGGAAGAGCTGGGGAGTGGGGGGCTTGCTGGGGGTGCAGGGGAGGGCCCTGGCCTCCTGCCCCCTCCCCAGCTCAATGGGGTGCCTGGACCATGGCCTGAGGGGGCCAAGAAGGTTCGTCGGGTGCCTCAGGAGGGAGCTGGGGACCTGCCAGAGGGCACCTCCGAGGCCATGGCAGGACTAGAGGGCTTTGGGCAGGAGCTCCGGGAACTCGAGGTGGCATTGAGCAATGGGGGGGCTGGCTCAGGACCCCTGCTAGAGCCTCCACTACCTCTTGAGGAGGAGGAGGCCTATGAGAGCTTCACCTGTCCCCCTGAGCCCCCTGGCCCCTTCCTCAGCAGCCCTTTGCGGACTCTCAACCAGCTGCCAAGCCAGCCCTTCACTGGTAAGCTACTTAGCCTAGGCCTTCTCCTTTGTGTACTCCTTGCATGTACTCGACATGTTTGTGCTAATATCTGAGACTTCTTGGCCATGTCATTTCTGTGTACTTGCCTAGCTCCTCATCCATTTTGCTTGGGTCCATTCCAGATACATACTCTGTTGTACTTCTGTCTCTGTGTTTGTGTATACGTCTTCCATGCTTGTGCTGGTTTGAGTATTGATTTATGTCTGAGCCTTATATGTCTGTCCTATGTGCATGTTCCTCCTCTTCCCTAGTCTGGCCATTTCCTGGGATTGTGATCAGGATGTTCTGTGTTTGGTGTTTCCTGGTGAATCACAGCAATATATCTGAACAATATATATGGAGTCGTACATGCTATTCTATATGTGAGGTACCTGTAAGCCATGCCGTTCCATGCTGTTCCCATGTTTGTCTTGGGTGTTGGGTCTCCTGTCAACTTTTCTGCCCAGGATCAGCTCTTCTGGTGTTTTTCCCATACTCTGCCCTGGCCTCCTTTCTTCTCCCTGTCTTCTCAGAGAAGGACTCAATTTCAGGTTTTTCCTGTTCTCTGTCCTTGTACCTTGTTGGTTGCTATGACTACCCAGTAAGACTTTCTTCGTCTTACGGTTAATAGTAAGGACTGAAGCAAATAGAGTGAAATACCTCTTTGAGGGCAAATGACAAAAGTGTGGCCCCGAGCTCCCGAGCTGAGTTCTTTTGGTCTTTCCAAAGACCCTGGAGCTAGACCTGACCTGAGTGGCTGGGCTAACTCCTCTTCGGTTTTTGTTTGAGAGCCAGCTTTACCAATCCTGCTCTTACCTGGTTCTTATCCTTACTCTCCTTACTCTAGGGGGCAAAAAACCACTTCTAAGAAGCAGTGTAGTGCTTTGGACTAGACATACCTTGAATTAGTGTCTGTTCACATCACTGATGCATTTAAACAACTCACCGTGATGCTGGTGCATTGGGAGAGCTCAGCACATGGAAGCTTTTCACTAGGATTATCATCTCTTGAATGCATGGCAGATAAAAGTTGACCAAGGTATCCACCCATCTTCTGGTTGTTTGCAGTCAAGTTATCATGCCTTGATCAGTCCATGTCCTAACTGGGCCTGGGATATTCTGCCATCCTTCTTGTACAACACCAAAGCTTCTGCTCTAGAGTCCGGACAGCTCCCTCTTGCAGACTACAGAAAATGGCTTTCCATTTGTTTAGGCTTTGCTCCTTCCTGCTCAATACCACTAGAAGGTGGTATGCAGGTTTTACCACATTGTTGAAGTGTCCCTTTTCTTCTTTGTAAACTCACCTGAGCTTTTTGAATTTTCTCTTGGAAGAGAGTCGCAGGAAATGAGAGAAACAGAAGGACAAAGTTATGGAGTATCTTAGGGACCCTGTTAAACTAGGGTTGTATGGAGCTAAGGCTAGTCATGTGCATCTGGAGTGGAGAATGTTCTAGGATCTTTTTCAGAACTCGCTGCCTCTTTCCCTTCATTCTTCTCCTGTCTTAGTTCATAGTGCAGTTCTTAGGTATAATCCCTTTTCCTCACAGATCCCTGGTCAGACAGAGTGTGATGGTTCTAGTAGATCATTCTGATCCCTTCTGTTTTTCCCAGCACTTTGCTTAATCCATTTTCTCTGGCTCTGAACTAAACTTTTTTACCTTCTTGGTTCTTAGTACCCGAACAGAGCTGATTTCTTCTTTGGGCTTCCAGAGATTTCTCCCCTATCTTGAAGTTGGCCTGTCTAGTCACCTTTGTCTTTGCTACAGTTCATTCTTGCTTTCTTCTGACCTAGGTGTAGTGTTATCCTCTGTCTTGTGTGTAACCTGATTCTTCTTTTGGTCCCATTTACTTTTCTTGCTTGTTTTTTTTCTTCTGTGCCTCTTGGGTGAAGCTTTTTAAAAAACTGAGAGATGTTATGTAGCTTATAGTTATTACTGAATACGTATAATTTGCTAGATCTTGGGTTAACTGCTTTATAAGAATATCTTTTTGATCCTTTTAGTAATACTATGAGGTGGGTATATTTCATTTTGCCAAGTAGGAAACTATGCTTGGAGAATTTTGATTCATCCAGTAACTTAACTAGTAAAAGATAAACCTGGAATTTGAAACCAGGTCTTTCTGACTCCAGAGCCTATGATCTGGCTCTTCATCTGAAGTGTGTGTAAAGCTGGCATCTGGACTCCTGTGGGTCCATCTGGTGTCTGCCATTTCATCTCCAGAGTAGGTGATCACAGGATATTTAAACATACCCAGGGACTGACCTACAAGTAATTTTCATCTAGTGGTTGGGGGGGGGGGGTCTCTTGGTTTTGGAAAGAATGAGCACGATGTGCATTGTGTTTAGGCCTTGTATCCTTGTACCCACCCCTCCCAGGCCCCTTCATGGCTGTGCTCTTTGCCAAACTCGAGAACATGCTGCAGAACTCCGTCTATGTCAACTTCCTGCTGACGGGGCTGGTGGCCCAGCTGGCCTGTCACCCCCAGCCCCTGCTCCGCTCTTTCCTGCTCAACACCAACATGGTCTTCCAGCCCAGTGTCAAGTCCCTGCTGCAGGTGTGCGATGCATGCATGCATGGGTGCGTCCAGGCTCCGTGGTGGGCCAGGCCCGCAGCTGGAGTGGTCCTGGGGGGGCTGGGAACAGGCCCAGTGGGACTAGAAAGGACTGTCAGTCTAGAGCTACACAGAAATGTCATGAAGTTGTGCTTCATAGGTGCTGGGTTCTGTGAAGAATAAAATTGAGAGCTTTGCGGCCTCCCAGGAGGACTTCCCAGCACTGCTATCCAAAGCCAAGAAGTACCTCATTGCCCGTGGCAAGTTGGACTGGGCCGAGGGCCCTGCAGCAGGACCTGCCCCCCGCCGCTCCGATCCCCTAGGTGAGGCCTATCCCACCACTCCACCCCTCTCCCTGCCTTCCCTAGACAGCTAATTAGTCCAGGTTAATTAGCTCTTATTAAGGGTGAAGTCTTGTGCCATGAACTGAGGAGTTGCAGAAAATGGAGTCTTGATGTTTGTAGTCTGGCTCTAGTCAAAGGGTAAAGTACAGTTATGTCCACCAAGAGCCAAATTAGCAGCACCAGCAAAAGCTGTTCTAGGAGTTGAGGATAGGCAAGGGGACAGAGTAGTCTCTAGGTTGAGGTATTGTTACAGTTTGGGAAAGGACATGGTATTTGACATGGTCCTTGAAAGATAGGACTTGGGTAAGCAGAGGAGTGGGGTGGCTTTATTCTTTTGTCCAAGGGACCGCATGAACTATTTAGTTGGAGCAGAGGATTTAGAAGGTGGTGGAATAGTTGATAGTAAGCCTGGAAAGATTTGGCCAGAGCATTAGGTGCTCAGATTAGAAGTTGGGCTGGGTAGAAGTTGTGATCTTTTAGGCAGTGAGAACCCATTGGAGGTTCTTAGATATGAGAGTGGAGAGATAAGCATGTTAGTTCATGTGGACCCAGGAGAAAACAGAGTGCAACTGTGACCAGCAAGGCTTGAATTAGAATAGTGGAAACAGAAAGGAAGAATTGGATAAGGTAGAAATGGGAAGAAAGTATTGGCAGAGTTTGATGAATGGTTGTGGGGTACAAGGATGAAGGAAAAGTTAAGTATGACCATGCAGCTTTAAATCTAGATCTTCCATCAGCAAGTGTCTGAGTACTTGCCATATTTGCTCTCCATTGTCTTTGGTACAGGGGACTCAGGGAGTAGTACAAGGACTCAGAGAGTAAGTACAACATGAGACCTTTGCTTTCTAAGAGCTGACAGTCAGTCTAGAGAGTGACTAGAGAAGTATCATTAACTGAGAAAGCAAGGTCCCAAAATGTGGTGGATGTAGTGGGATCCAGTGTACCAGGACAGGATTAACTGGATGGGAAAGGTTTTTTTTCCCCCCCTTTGAGGCAAATGAGGGGTAGGTCAAAGGAGGAAGTGATATGTATCCATGGAGTTGTGAGGTGCAGAGGGGAAGGGCAGGAATTGAAGTACTTTATTTGCTAATCAAAGTAGGAGGCAAAATAATATGCTAAGAGCAAGAGAGCAGGGGTGAGATGGAGGATCTTGAGAAATGTGGGTTGGGAATACAGTACCAGAATGGTTATTACACAGCTGCGAAAACCCAGCTGATGTTCCTTAACATGATTTCCTCATGGTACAGCACTGTGAATGTATCTTACTTCCATGGTTCTGGTACTGTGTTCACTGTGGAGGTAAATAAGAGTCTGAGCCCTTGAGCTCACAGATTATACTGTATGAGATAGAAGACCTATACACAAGCCATTACAATACAGTGTGATAAAGGTGGTGAAATGGGAAGTCAGTGGAGGGCAAATCAGAGGAGGTTTCTCAGAGGGGTGGGGATAATGAGATTAGGCCAAGGATGAAAATAGTGGGGAGAGTAAAATTAAGGCAGAGAGGGCTACAGAAGCATAAAAAGAGCCTGGAAGGTTTCAGGAAGAACAGATAGGTATGGGTACAAAAGCAGAGGAGGGTGTAAAGAATTTGGAAGAAGGGTTGGAAGGGGCATGTGATCCTGGTTGTGAAGGGTTTTGAATGCCATATTTAGTAGATCTGTGTAGCATATTTTTGTAGCCAGTGTTCGAGATAGAGAGTGGGAACTGTAGCATGATCTAGAGACTAAATCCCTAGAGTCTAGGCCCTACATATTGGGCAAAGATCCAGAACCAGTAATCTAGGAAAAAAATTAGAGGAGAGAGGGCAATATTTTAAATGGTTCGTTTGAGTCTAAGCTGAGGTGAAGTTGTCTGGCCATGTGAAGTTGTCTAAGCTGATGTGAAGTAGGAGGATGGCTTTGGTGGATACAGGAGAGGGACTGGTGGTAGGCAAAGTGGTGGCGCAGGAGAACAGATTTTGGAAAGGTAGTAGAGTATGAGATAGATGGTAAAGCCCCTGAACTGTGATTGCATATATGGCCCTGTGGGTGTGGAAGGAGCAGAGGATGTGGGTCATGTATTATAGACAGGCAGAGGGAAGCTGGAAGTGGTTGGCTCCAGTTCATGAGCATAATGTAAGGGCGTGTTACAGACTGAGGAGACATAGCTTAGAGATGGTAGAATAGCAATTGAAAAGGGAGGAATATTAAGAGTCCCTCAGGGTGAGAGGGTGTGGAGAAGGGGTCTCGGTTGGGAATGAAGTGGCTGAAGTGTTGACTGACAGAAGACTGAGGGTAATGGTTGACTGGGTGGGGAGGCTGGATAAAGGGAAGAAGGCTAGGCAGGCAGCATTTTGGTTTTCGAGTCCTAGTTGAGATGTCCCTGAACCCAGGGAGGGAGGCATCTCTCTCAGACCGAGAGAGTGTGCCTGACCCCAGCACCTTCACCATCCCCAATACCCATTTATTCCCAGTGAAGAGCCGGAGGCCGTCCTTGGGGGAGCTGCTCCTGCGGCACGCACACAGTCCAACCAGGGCCCGGCAGGCGGCACAGTTGGTTCTTCAGCCTGGGAGAGACGGTGCAGGACTTGGCCTAGGTGGGGACTCCCCTGGGGCTTCAACTCCGGTGCTGCCCCCTCGGGGTGGGGCCCCTGAGCGCCAAGGTGAGGCTCTGCGAGTCAAGAATGCGGTCTACTGTGCAGTCATTTTCCCTGAGTTTCTCAAGGAGTTGGCTGCCATCTCCCAGGCCCATGCTGTCACCTCGCCTTTCCTGTTGGATGCTTCAGAGGAGGGATCTGGCCCTCCTGTCTCAGGCTTCGGGCCCCTCAATCCTTAACTTTCTTCCATGGACAATCAGGGCCTCAAGTGGCCTGGGCTGGGGCCGGGATGTAGGCTCCTTTTTATGTTTGGAGGCAGTGGCAAGAGGACTTTTTAATTTATTTCCGATGAATGTTTTATGGAGAACTTGTTGCAATATGTATAAAAGGGAAATCTCTATTCTGTGCTCATTCTTCTTTCCCACCCTTTTTTAAGGGGCTGTGGTCCCAGGAAGGTTGTACATAAATGGGGAGGTCAGGGGTACTTTGTCTCTCGTGAGGACATTGGTGCCAAGGTTTCAAGGTGCTTCTCATGCCCTTAAAGGGTGAGGGGGTCGTGGAGCCTAGGGAAAAAAGTAGGGACTCTCCATCAACCCCCAGAAGGAAGAAGCAGCATGGGCCAAGGATGGTTTTGGGGAGCAGCAGCTGATGTTTTATTGGGGACCAGTATCCCTATTCCAGATCTTGGGGGCCTCGCCCCCTGCATCTCTTGCTTCAGCTTCATTCGTCGCTGTCGAACTCTGAGGACAGACCCTGCAGCAGGGGCAGGGACATGGAGTGCCGGTCGGGGTCCCCGGGGCCCCCACCCTGGACTCCTGGTGGGGGGCTGCGGGGGCTGAAGAGCCAGTTCTCTGCCAGGGTTGGGGATAGTCACAGCTTGACTCATGCCCTGATCTTTCTGCCTCCCTGGTCCCTCCCTGGCCCTCTGTGCTATGCCCACCCCCTCACCAGGACCATGCTTCCCCCTCGTTACCCTGGCTCCCTCATTCCATCCCCCTCACTGGGATCCAGTGTGGAGTAAGGGGTGCCCCACACATTCCTGGGCACACACTCCTATATTCCCCATGCCCTCTCCCCTCTACCCGATCTCATCCCTCTCAGCTTCATATCCCCTAGCAGTACCTGACAACATCTGGGGCCCCCTGCGGAAGGGGTTTCGGCCCCTGTAGGAGAATCTGGTGGGTCTGCCCTTTGGCCCTTCTTGAGGAGGTGGTGTAGGTGGGGCTGGGACAGGCGGGGGTACATCAGCAGCTTCAGGGGTATCGGCAGCGACTGATGTGGGGGCCAGAGGTGGCATGATGCCGAGGTTGGGTCTGACCCAGTTGGCACCATGGGGCAGTGGATCTCTGGTCAGAGGCTTCTGTGGTCCCAGCACTCCTTTGGGGTGCAGTGAAAACTTGAGGCAGGAGAAGGCAACAGGCAGTGACCGTTGTAACCGGAGCAGCTGGGGCTCACGGGCTGTAGGCAACAGCCCCAGCTGCAGCCAGGAACAGGAGAAGACCTGGTAGATGACATAGATGCTGTGGGTGCTCCGGAGCCAGGGAAGGTTTTGCTGTAGGCTTACCTGCCCTGGCGGCAGCAGCAGGAAGGCCATCTTCTTGCGCAGGCCACCCATGTGCAGGCGGATCCGGCAGGGCTGCCCATCCAACAGTCGCATTTCTTCATAGGCTATCTCTGCTCGGCCGTTTGGTGAGTATTCCCGAGTGCAGTGGGCAAAGGCACCCTCAGACCCTGCCTGCTCCAGGAGGTTTGGTAGTGGCCCCACTGGTTGTAGTGCCCGCCGACCCTGCCGACCTGGTAGAGCCAGGCGGGTGTGGGCTGGGCGGGACTGCTTCACTAGCACACCCAGTAGGTCATAGCACGCTGCATCCGACAGGAAAGGTACCGCCACTACATTGGGCCCAAAGCGCTCTTCGATAACCTGCAGATGGCCAGTTTACAGGTCAGGGACTGAGTTAGGGTCAGGAGTTACCTGGTAGCCTATTCTAGATTGACCCTCCCATTGTTCACTGTGCAATTACATCTCCACAACGTGCTCAGGCTGTTATGCTTCCTGCTTATTTTATAGTTCTGTCCTGTAGCAAAACCTTGAATGTCTACTATGTGTCAGACCCTGCTGGATACTGGGAGTACATAAAAGCATGAAGCTTTGACCATGCCTTATTATAGCTCAGTCTAATGGAGGAGACGAAGATATAGACAGTAGTAGTCAGCTAAGTAATAATAGCAAGGTTAAATCACCAGAAGTGATGTAGTAGCCTTTGTCTTTGATAGAAGAGGATCAGAAGATGTCTAGTTTCTAGGTGGTAATACTTGAGTTTTGAAGGAATTAGGTAGGAGGATGGTCAATCCAGGGAGAGGATACAGCCAGTTAAAAAACCTGAACTTATAAACTAAGAAGGGCACATTCCGGAACACATAATTTCATAGTACTTAAACAGGGTCTGAAGAGCGACAGGCACACAGGAACTAGACGATGAAAGATCTAAAGTGTGCTGACAGGAATTTAATCCTGAGGGCAATGGAAAGCCATTTGAAGGGCTCTGGGTGAGAGGGACGGGATCAGAAAGGTGCTTTAGAAAGTTAATTTTGAATAGCAAGACAAAATGAGAAAAAGATCGGGTAAGAGTATTGTATAACTGCAAGCAAAACATGGTGAGGCCTTCAACTAAAATAATGGGGGAAGATCGTTAGGTTATAGAATTAGTAGAACTTGGTCAGTTAAGGAGTATGGGAAAAGGAATCATGAAGGGTTAGTCTTAGATGATTGGTTAGATGGGAGATGTCGTTCACTACAATGGGTACACAGAGATAGGTTTGGAATGACCTTTTTTCAACATCTTCTGCCCTGGCTACAGAGAGTAGTTCTTTTAGGGATTTGAGGCCTCATCTTTGTAATGCTGTCCTAATATGCTTTTAGGGATTCTAGTTCCCTCTTGGTTTTGTCCTTCTTGTCTTGGCTTTTTTGGTTTGATAATCCAGTTCGGCAAAGTTTAACTTCATGACCAACTGGGAAACCTTGTAAGATCCTCTCTAGTAATTGTACGTAGGTATGATCTCGACTCATCAAAGATATTGCTGGCCGAGACTTCTGGCTCTGTGTTCTGCTAGGGAGTACATAAAATTCCCTCTTTGGGTCCCTTTCCTGTTTGAGACCTATTCTGAAAATACTCTGTTCTACTCCCCTTCCTCAGCTCTGCATTCCCACATGTCTGTCTCCCTACTGCTGACATTGCCCACTTTGCTGGTCTTCTGGTAGAATTCATCAATGATCCCTTAAGGCCAGTCTGTTTTTTTGCTACATAGAGCTGTTTTAGAAGTGCTGCCCCAGAGCATAAGAGGAGGATAGCTAACTGATGGAGTTGTGTCTGCACTTTGTCACCTAGCCAAGGAAATAAATGGTGCTCTTTCTTAATGTGCATGGAAGAATTTCCCATCATTCCTGTGCTTTATTCAGACATGGCATACTTTCTTTCTGGTGGGGGCATCAGGCTGAAGAACAGGGCTCTGAGAAGGTCCATTTGGGTTTCCCAGGGGTGACAACAGAGCACTGGTGGATGGACATTTTTGTATAGAATGCTCTGTCCCATGACAAAAAAAGGGTAGTCACCAAGTATAACTTCAGAATCCTACCCTAGCTGCTCCTTTGGTCCCTAGGATCCTATACAAATAAGACAAATAGGAGTGTCCCCAGGAGGTATCTCTCTAATAGGATTTTGAGAAATACCTGGTTCTTATGGTCTAAGTGTCTGTTAAAAGGTGAATCCCTAGTTTAGCTGGAGGTTTTTTCCCAGAATATAGACATGAATTTGCCTTGGGGGTGGGGGAGGGTTATTAGGCCCTCTTTCTTACCCTTGAGGCTCCCAGTAGTTATCCTAAAATAGGGAAAATAAGATTTCTATGCTATGGTGACTATTCTTGGTAGAGTCATCATTTGAGACCATTACCTATCGTTCCCACTGCAGTTTTATTTCTGGGTGAAAGTTCTATGGAACATAGAGGCCTGCAAATATAGATCTCTCAGGGGCAGCCTGGGAAAATGAAGGTGGAAGACTATCTTCCTGGATGTATCTTGGCTGGTTTGAATTCTGAATGAGGAGCTCTTGAGCCACATTCTTGTTAGCTATATGTTCTACAAAGTGCTCAGTAAATTTTTCTGATGCTGAGAGATAGTGTAGCTTTCTACTAGTTGATGATCACGTTTACTTTCCGCCTAATGAAATGCTTGATCTTGTCCGGACCAACCTTTTACACTGCTGAATCCAGGTACTTTGATACTTGGGAGGGCCTTGACTCTCCTGTTTCTGCTTCCCTGGGAAGCTGACCTTCGTGGTGACCTGCTGCTCCATTTCAAATGGGAGCCACATGAGCCACATGCTGTTAAGGCTGCTTTGAGTCTGGTCGGCACTACTTTAAGATGGTGGTTTTAAACTTGGTGGGCTGCCTTCCACGAGTGCTTGAAATTCACTGTCCTTGAGGTTACATAACTGGAACCTGATCCCCAAATTCTCCAAGTTCAGAAATTGTAGCCATCTAGATTTGGTGGGATTTGTTGGGTACCTGCAACTCAGATACAGCTGACATATGCCTGCTCCTAAAAATCTACATATTTTGCTCAAAACCCAAATTTCCCATTCTGTGGAAGTTAAAGGTGGAGGAGGTATCTGTGAAGAGGTCGAAGGTCCTTTAGAAAGTTTAAAGGGCCCTTCGTGATCAGCCCCTGTACCCCTTTGACCTTCTTTTCACTACCCATTTGAACTCTGTTCTAGAGGACTATTTGCCGTTCACAAATAAGCATTTTTCTTTTTCCTCTCCTGGCTTTTGCATATGCTCTACCTTTAATTAGGACACCATTCACTTACTCACCCACCCACCTGCTCATTAACTGATTTAGGTGTTTAGTAAGCACCATTTATGAGTCAGGAATTCCTTTACCCTCTACGTGAGAATAATTTCTATTTGCTTAGCTAGAATATCACTCTCCAGGAAACCTTCCTGCCCTCCTAAGCCCTACCCTGACTTAGCACTTGTTTCAGTTCTCCTCGATTCCAATTGCCTTTCTAGGAACCTCTTACCGTTTTTCCAATTGTGATGAAATTGGACACTGTATGCAAAGCACTTAGTGCAGTGTCTGGCATGTGAGCAAGCCCTGAGTAAATATTAGTTGTTACTATCTTCAGGCTTCCCACCCCTTCCTACTCATAAGTTGCTCAGACCCATCTAGGTCACACTTTGTTACTTTCTTTTTGGCCCTCTTACTTTATCCTTGATGAGGGTCCAGGTGGCATCAGCTTCATCCAGTGTTAGCAGGTGGGGGGTACCAACCAACATGGTAGGGTGTGGGAGGGGTTAGGCAGGGCAGTGGCTGCTGCAGGAACCCCAAGTTGCCCAGGGAGGTGA